TATAACTCACCGTTGTCCCATCCACAGCCACATAGACCTTCGACCTGCTGGAGTACACCTCGACATCCAAGACCTTCTTGTTGCTGACAGGGTGCCTAGGGACCTCCACATTCAGCATCTCGTCATCTACAGAGGAAAAATGCATAGTCTCAATCAGCCAAGGCACCTCTAGCTTGTTCATGCTTGGCGCTAGCACAGACGAGCCTCCAGAAGGTTATGCCCACCAGGTATCCCAGCCCAATAAACCACGGGTAAGAATGCACAAGGACAGCAGTTAAGGGAAATACAAAATGGCAACAGGTCTGGCCCCAGCTATCCCCACATCGATATCTGCAGCCAAACGTGTGGAAGCCTTGAGTAGATAGAATGGGAACAACCTTTTCTATTATTTTTTGTTAAAACTACATGCAAACTTTTATGCTGTAGCTGGTCAAAAGTTCATCCTGACTTGAAGAAATTGCTTCCCTCCCTCCGGTTTTCTTGCTTCAAAGAAAAGCAAGATGCTGCCCCTCACCATAGTCCTGTGCAGACTCCTCTTCCTCCTCATAAGCAGCTCTCCTGGTGTCCAAGATCAGCTTGATGTTCACAATTACGGTCACAAGCAGGAAGAGGACAGCACCTGTCTGCAGTGCAGGAGACTCTGTGTTAGCAGCTTGTAAGTAACAACCCCAAATTCAGCCCACTTCCTTGGCAGAGGCTGCAGGGCACCCCAAGAGATCTTGCAAGGGATCATAATTATCTGTCATTTCCCCTGTTTTCTTCCAGGGAAAGGCAAAGAGAAGGAAATACAGGTGATGACCATGTTTTACATTGAAATGTTTTCATCAGCTGGAGAGCATCAAATTCTTGATACATGTGAATTAACCCACTTCCAACAAATCCCTGCTTCCAGATCTGTGAGCAGATTCCTGTCAAGATATTGCATCAAGGTTGAGGGTCTGTGCATGCAATTCAGAACTGCAGCTCCCACAGTAACCTTAACGTCTGCCTATCCTGCAGCATCACTACTCTCACCTCTCCCTCTGCAACCAGAGGATGTATTCACAGGGACAGATGCTGTGCGACTAAAGCAAGGCAAAGGGAAGAAGCTGAGGTCTGACTTGAGGAAACCACACTGTGCCACAGGCTGCAGAAAACAGCCCACAGCCTTACTGTCTGCAGCAATCTTCAAGGCAAGCTGCATGGATGCCAACACAGAGGGTGATAGGAAGGTCCAGCGGCTATAGAGCAGTCCACGGGAGCCCCTCAAGCATCACCACTCCCCATGGCTTTGTGGCTTCCAGACCAAGAGGATGGAGAAGCACCAGTACTTAAATGCACCTTGCTCCTCTCTTGCTCAATTTCAGTCTTTTTCCTGGTATTTGGACCCAGTGTAAAGCAGAAACTACTCCACGCTAAAGGGGCCTTTTCTGAGACAGAGCCACACAGGAAGACTTGGACCACAAACATCCCATGTTGGGGAATAATCCACCTGCAGGTGTAAGCTTAAAGCTGCAGTGCTGGTCTGGGATGCAGGACTGAAAGACAAGACCTCAGCTGAAGCAATTTGTCTTTCCCTTAGGGAGCTTTGTGACTGAAGGCCCAGGTGAAAAGGTGACAGCAGCATGTGGTGGCCATGGGGCTTCGCACAGGGATAATGTTCCTGCCCAGCACCTACAGCCCTGCCTCAGGGCTGAGGAGCAGCTCTAGCCCAGAGCTCAAAAGCTGCTCTGGACAGTCATGCTGCAAGGGGAAGCTTTGCCATTGGATTTAAGACACAAAGCCCTGAGGAGCTATTACCCCCAAAGCTAACACTGCTACAGGGCTCCACCAGGCTCCAGGCCAGGAGGGTACATCCAGCTCACAGCAGAGTCACCACAGAGACCCAAATCTGACTGCTGTGTGCTGCTGACAGATTCATCCATGGCCCAAAAACTCTGGCCCCTTGGCCTAGCCATCGGATGGTTTCCAGTTTCAACCAGGCAAGCTCAGGGTCCTACTTTGAGTTTGGAACATCTCCCTGGAGCACCCCAAGTCTCAGCACGGAGTTCACAACTAACAAGGAAGAAGATGGGAGAGGCTGGTGGAGGCTGCTCATAGCCTGGGCTCTCAGCAAAGGGATGTCGAGACATGTCATGGGTGATTTTGAGACTATTCCCTTGCCCCTCAGCCCCCAACAGCCTGCTGCTTAAAAATCTGTGTCTTTTTCAGCTCTAGGATCCTTGATTCTCTGAGGTGTGGTATGGGGTTGAGATCACACACAGGCCTGCCCTTACTGAGAGACACTAACAGAATCCTGTCCTACCTGGCCAGCTACTACCTCTGTCAAGCAGCCACATGGGTTCAAGAAGTAACTGAGGAAGTTGGAAAACCAGCAGTAAGACACATGACAATATAACTGTCACTATGGCATTTTGGCTTGTTGATCTGTTGTTGACTCAGGAGTATGAGCACCTTTGGGATCTGTGCACAGAAAGCTTTTAAATAGGCAAGAATAGTGCCTTGGGCTCACAGTGAGGGGCAGACTGCTCCTGGTGGCCAGCAGCAAGGCCACCTTACCAACCTGCCTCCAGCCTGGTCAGCACTGGAGACATGGGGCAGCGGCCCTGGTGACCAAGCACTAAGCAAGACCAGCAGCTGAGTGTAGCAAGGCTGGGTTGATCAGAGCTGCTGATAGAGGCCCAGCTGCTATAGAACTGGCTGCTTCATACCTGCGACTACGGTTTACGTATTTTAAGCCCAGTTTTTATGTGTTTTAAGCCACAGCAGTGACACAAAGGAGAGAGGTGACAGCAGACAGGCTCTAGCGCACTGCCCCCAGCAATGCCTGCTTGAATGACCTGGCCTGTTCCCAATCCCTGAGCACTGCAGGGGATGCCGGACCAAGCCCTCTTGCTCCTGAGGGAGCCCTCATGAGCCTTCATGCCCCCAGGAACACAAAAAAACTTTCCCTGCACCCTCTTACAGCAACGAACTGCCAGATCTCACAAGCTCTGCACATCCCAGGAGCGGCCCCTTTTCTGCAGCTTGCTGCTATGGGTCCAAACCCTTCCTGTCCTTACACCCCCAGACACCCCCCAGGATGCCGACTCTGCTGAGGATTAGCAGTTTTCCAGCACAAGCAACCAAGCCTGCAGCTTTCCCAGACACCAGCTGCCTTTAGGGCATGAGATCCTGTTGCTCAGCCGTATTTTCTCTGTCCACCTGCTGTGTCTTACACCAGGCTTGATTTGCAAATTAAATGGGGCAAGGACGGTTTCCCACCAAAGGCTGAGCCCTACAGCACTTGGCATGGGTCCGGAAACAGAAGGGGAGCATTCAGTCAAGTTTCTAGCTGAAAGCTTCCCAAGGACACCTGGATAACTATAATTTCATGCCACAACCACCCAACAGGTCCACTTCCAGCTGGAAGTTGCTGCTAGAAATGTCATATCCTTCCACGCATGAGCACAAAATCACTGGAAGTAACATTTGGGGGGACAAGTTCTGTCTCCCCAGCATGCTAGGTCACCCAGACTGCCAGCAGACCCACTTCCATCCACGCAGCATCTCCATAAGATCACAAATCCTGCAGATTATCCTTCCTAATCTACTGAAGGCCTGTGGGTGACTCACCTGGCACAGCTTCCGCAACGTGCGCTGGTTCATCAGCTTGTACTTCCAGGCAAGATACCAGCTCCGCTTCTTGTGGGGCTTGACGGCGGGGTTGGGTTTCCACTCATCCATAGTCACAGGGGCTGGCACAGCCGTGTGGGGCAGGGGTCAGGACGTGTGCTGCTCCGCTCTCATGTTCATCGGAGCTACCTGTCAGGATGGGACGGGAGCACAGTGAGGGAGGTGAGTGCTTTCAAACCCTCTCCCCAGCAAAGACAGGGCCTGGCACAAGCAGTGACCATGAATGGCACTCACATACCACAAGCAAAAGCCCCACGGAGCCTCCCCACCTGCAAGCACCCCCAGCTCTGCAGGGAGCAATCCAGGAGGCCAGGCTCTGCTGGAGGACTGTAAGCAGGGTGACGGGAAGCCCTTGAACTCACGGGCCAGTGAGGATTTCTGCTCCAGCCCACCTTACAGAGGCCACTGCAGTGCAGCGGGACCACTCCCACACTCTGGAAAGGTGGCCAAGAGGCAGGAGCTGGTGAGACCCCAAACCACCAGGCATCACAGTGTCATCACTGGCCGTATCTGCCTGCAGGGTCCCCGGTGAGGAGAAGCATCTTCCCTGCTTGCAGTAGGGTGCCTATGAAGCAGCACCATCCCCACTACGGTGCTTCTGATAGCACAGACACGGAGCCAGAGCGGGGCCATAATCCCACTGGAGATCCCAGCACCCCTGGGGCAGAGAGGTTGTGCCCAGGTCCAGGTTCCGTGCTGCGAGCAACCTGCTGGGCCTGGGGGAGGATGCAGAGGCCCGGCAGAGCCAGGGGCCTGGCTGGAGCACAGACCCCGCCAGCGGGGCCAGGCACGGTGGGAGCCCCCAGCAGCCGCCCGCAGGGGAACGGAGGAGTGGGGCACCCTCAGGGGAGGAGCGCCGGGACCCTGCGATGCCGGGCGGGTACCGCAGAGCGGCCCAAGCACGCGGAGTGGGGGGGCCCCAGGGCAGCGGGGGAGAGCCGCGAAGGGGGCCCCAGGCGGGGGACGCGAGGGGAGAGCCAGGCCCCGGAGGCCCAAGCGGAGCAGCGACGGGGGAGGGCCCATGCGCGGAGCCGGAGGGGCGCGGCCCCGCTACTCACGGTCCAAGCGGGGAGGCCGAGGCGAGGCCGGGCCGGGCCCGACCCGGCGGTGCCACCGCGCCGCGAACCCCGAGCGCCGGCGGGGCCGCGCTGCTTCCGGCGCCGCAGAGCCACCGCGGGGGCGAAAGGGGGCGTGGCCAACGCTAACCCCGCCCCCTCCCCGCGCCGCTCTGCGCTGCCCGGCGGACCTCGCTGGTGCGGGCAGGTGGAGGCGGGGGGCGTGGCCTGCGCGGCGGGGCGGGGCCGCGGCTCGGTCCGGGTGACAGCGCTGAAGCCGCCGCCGCCGGCCTGGCCGCATGGAGAGCGGCGGGGAGGCGCTGCCCGCCGACCTGCGGGACCTGGCCACCAAGGTGGGGCGGCGGCCGCCCGCCGGGCTGCTGCGGGGGCTGCGGGCAGACACAGCCCCCGCGCCGCCGCCACCGCCCGCACCGGCCCGCGGCGCCCGCCTGCCGCTCGCCGAACGCCTCCGGGCGCTCCGCCTCGACATGGTGAGTCCTGCGGCACCGGGGCGCTGCGCACCCGTGGGGAGATGCGTGCCCCCCAGCTGCCCGCTGTGCCCTCGATGTCTGCCCGTAACCCCTCGGTAACTGGTCCCCTCGGTAGCTGCCTGCACACCCCCCCCCCCGAATAGTTGCATCCCCCGGTAACTGCCTGCCACCTCCCGGTAAGTGCCCCCCCCCTCCCCGGGTAATTCCATCCTTCCCCCCCATCCCGGGATAGCTGCATCCCCTCCGGGTAACTGCCTGCCATGCCCCGCTAACAACCCCCTGATAGTGCCCCGAGCCCTGCCTGCTTTTTGGGGTATCCCTTCTTTTCCTCTGTGCATTAACAGTCCTTCACCCCGTCTTTCTCTGCTTCCCGATCTACACAGCATCCCCCCCCACTTGGGGTCTCACGAACCCCTTCATTCACCGCCGTCTTGCTTCCCCTCCTCACCCCAGGCGCTGGCTCCGGTGGGGATCAGAGTGTTCCAGGGATCAGGATTTAGGGCAGGGACCTTCGCCAAGGGCATGGTGGCCGGGTCCCCCCACCCCCACGGGTGTCACCCCCTGAGTGACAAGGCACAAGCATCGCTGGGAGCTTTCCCGGGGTTCGCTTCCTGCTGGGGCTTCTCTGGTGTCTCGTAAAGGGTTGTGCTCCTCTGGCCGCCTTTCCCGGGGACCGTGGGAGTGTCGATGGCAGCTTTCTCGCCTCCCTCTTTCCGTGGAGGGAGCAAATACCGGCGATGCCTGCGGCTCTGGGAAACGTGGCGAGATTGGGCAATGGGTTCAAGTGCTGCTGGGGGAAGGGACTCTCCCACGCGTGCACACACAGGGCGGGTGGGTGGGAATGAGCATCGTTTCCATAGGGAAACCGCCTAAATACGCCTACATCCCTGCCTGCCACCCGGGGCACCGCTGCTTTGCCCCATTCCATATTCCATATTCCCCATCGGTGCTTTCATCCTCCCTTCTCTTTCATCCTCCCTCCACGCCAGCTTCCAGGCTGCACTCTGACCGGAGGAGAAAGGTCTGTGGGCCCTGAGTTGCTCAGAGGAGGAGGAGGAAGAGCAGGAGGAAGCAGCCGTGGTGCTTGCCCTACCCAGGTGCAGGCAGGGTCAGCTCCCAGTCTGCAAGGCCTGGTTTTGGCTGTGTGTTATTAACCTTGGCTAAGAAAGCCTTTTCCTTTCTCGGCCCTGGCTCCTCTTGTTGGCTGAAAGAAGCAAGGACACCTCACACCCAGGTCAGCAGCCCTGGGAATAGCCACTGGGTGCCCAAAACCCAGTACAGGGCTCCCCCATCCCCATGAAAAAGAACCAAAATCTACCCTCCCCAGCAGCAGAGACCAGTAAATCCCAGTGGTCCTTGGAGAAGCTGCCCTGGGAGTGGGTGATGAGGGGGGAAGATAGCAAATTCCCATACTTGCCTCTTGCTCTGAGGAGGATGTTTCATCCCTAGGGATGAAGGTGCCTGCAGGTTTCTTGTGTGCTGGGGAGGGGAATGGGACTGTATCCCCCCTGGGAGGAGTGTGATGCTCCCCTCCGTGGCTGTCCTTGGTACAAGGTTGGTGCTGTGGTGCTGCATCACCACATCTGGAGGAATACAAAGCAGCTGGACCTCGGGCTTCTCCCATGTTATTCTTGCCTTGCTGGAGAGGGGGTTTCTTAGGGTGCAACGGGATGGGGTCAGGCTGGCCTAAAGTACCAGCAAAGCGATGCTCAACTCTTTCCAGCAAACCATATGGAAAGGGGGGAGGGGAGGGGGGGTGTTTTCCCACCTCCTGCTTTTGGGGTGGCTCCCCGGCATCTCTGACAGCACTGTTGCAGCGAGGCAGAGAAAACCAGGGAACCCCCTCATCAGGGTTCCCAGCCTTCCTCCTCCCGCCTCTTCTCCCTGCCAAGGCCAGATGCTTCAGCAGCCTGTGCAGAAAAGTCCATTGTAGGCAGTTTTTGAAATAACTTGCCTAGAAAGGAAGTTTCTGCACTCCAGTGCTGGCTCCTGCCCCAGTCCGGGCACATCGCTGCTATTTTTCATGTAAATCCAGCTTGCGGAGCACGGGGAGGGGATGGCGGATTTGTGTTGGGTCTCTACAAATCATTGCCCCTTTTTTTGTGTCCTCTGGACTGAGAGGCATCACGTGCTGAAATCCTGGCTGGAGTTTTCCCAGGCTTCTTCCTCGGATGCTTTTGTTGCTGCGCTCACTGTGGGACCGGAGATGGGGGGTCTCAAGAGACCAGCGGGTCACCCGGGGGCAGGCGGGTGGCTCTGAGGGTACCGGATGCTGGGGGCCGGGTGCTGTGCTTAGAAAGGATCCTGTGGGGCAACTCTGATTTCTATCCCAGCTTGCTGGTGCTGGGGACAGAGTGAGCTTGTGAACCAGTCTGTGGGCATCTGCAGCTCCCAAGCTGCCGGTACCTGTCCTGCAATGGGTTTCTCTCCCACCACTGCCGTCTTATTCCCCTTCCTGGCAAAATATTTGTGTCCTGCACAGGGGAAATCCAGTGGCTTTCGGCAGCCAGTATCACACAGACAGGAATGTCTTGGCACGCGGGGCTTTCCGTTAGGAAAACAGATGTTTCTGCAGCAACCGAAGCTTTGCAAAGGCTTGGGGGGGCAGGAGTCTTTGTGGGAAGAGGTGTGGTCAGCAGTGACTGTTCCACTCCACTGTCTTCCTCTGGTTTTTGGGAGTGATTTGGATCTCAGGCTCCAGATCCTGTCACATTGTCACTAGGCTTGGATCCGACCCTAGAAAAGGGGAACTAAATGCATGAAGGGACCCAGCCTAAACAGCCTGGGGAGGTGCTGGTGGTCCAGACAGACCCCTGCTCAGAGCAATGCCCCTGCTTGGTCTTCTTGCCTTGCCACCCCCGAGGGCTTGGGGGATGCTCTGGGCTCAGACCTACACCCAGTGCCTCCAGTTCCTTGCTTCCTCCTGTCCCCATAGGAGACAGTGACATAAGTGCTCTGGGTTTATTTCCCTGAAGGCGCTGGTGGGTGGTAGGCACCATAAGTCATTGGTTGCAGTGGTTGTGTCTGTGAGTCTTGGACAGGGTCCCCTGGGATGTTTCCCAGTGCCATGCTGTTCATCAAGCAGCCCAGCAGACCTGTGGCCACTACAGTGGCACCTCTGCCAGGGTGTGCTGGGACTGGGGCTCACCTTGGTCCCCTCAACCCCCTGTTTTCTGTCTCCCCACCAGGCCTACCTGCGAGCGGTCGATGTGAAGATCCTGCAGCAGCTGGTGGTGGTGAATGAGGGCATCGAGGCGGTGAAGTGGCTGCTGGAGGAGCGGAGCACGCTCACCAGCCGCTGCAGCAGCCTGGCCAGCAGCCAGTACAGCCTGGTGGAGAGCCAGGCAGCCTCACGGCGGGGCAGCTGGGACAGCCTGCAGGACCCCAATGACCCGCTGGACAGCATCTCCGTTGGTAGCTACCTGGACACTTTGGCTGATGATATGGATGAGTATTCCCAAAACGCAGCCGAAACCGCCACTGCATCCGCATCGGGCAGAGCCCTGGTCAGGGCGGAGCAGGATTGGGTCAGGATTGACCCCGAGAGGGGTCTGGCAAAACAAGAGAAGGGCAAAGCAGAGCACGAGTGGCCCCACGTGGACATCTCCTCAGCCCGGCTGCCCCAGGATCACCGGTTTGCAAAGGAGCCCCAGGTGGCCAACGGGCATTTGGGCCAGCAGCTCTCCTCTGTGGAACCAGGCAGAGACACCAAAGTGCCCTCAGGCGCTGGGGAGAGGCTGGGGAAGGGGAACCTGGATGGGAAGGCTCGGAAAGCCGAGGGTGACTTCGAGAACTGCAAACTCAACAGCAAACTGCACTTGGAGTATGATGCCCACTGGCGCTGGCTCCAGTCTCAGGATGATGTGACGTTCTTGTAGCCCATGGCTTCGCCCTTACCACGCCAGCTCTCCCAACTGCTCGCTCTGCTTCACTTGTCTCTGCTTGGGAGAGCTGGGGTGGCTGGAGAAGGGAGGACAGGCTGGCTTGGTGGTGCTGCACTGTTCCTCTAACCCCCTGTCAGTGTTCGGTGATGCAGCCCTAAGGGATGGGGTGCTGGCCCTGCAGCAGCTTTATGGGAGAGGGGGGATGAGGTGGGTCCCCATAAACTTAATCGTTTGCCCTGGGGTGGTGCTTGCAGGTGGCTGGTCACTCCTCTGTTGTCCTTCACGCTGGTGGCAGGGAAGGGTTGGTGGGAAAACCTGGTGCGGTGGGACATCTCCCCTCTAATCCTCAGCCTTCTATCTGCAAACACTGGGGACCCTTCCTGTAAACCGGCTGCCCAGAGAGGACAGGAGATGCTCCCACACATCCATGGTGGCACCAGCATGCTCAGTGTGAGGTGTGGGGCAAGGCCAGCAGCAGGTTATCCCTGTTGGATGTGCTCATTTCCATCATTGTCTTCAAGGTCAGTGTCCATCCAGGGTAGAGTTGACCCGGGGCACATGGGGGATGCTAAAACCCTCTTTCCTGTGAGTGGAGCCCTGCCTGGTTTGAATGCCTTCATCCATACCCTGTGGAGGAAGGGTGATGGTGCAGACTTCCCTTCCAAATGTGATTACACGAGAAGGGCGATGTGGTGAGTGGGAGATGGAGATCCAGTTCTCCCAGTTTGTTTCTGGGCTGTTTTCCACTATTGGACCGTGTCCTTCGGAAACCCCGGGATGTGGCAGTGTATGGGCAGCCTGGCAGAGCCTGTGGGGCTCAGGCCCAGGGAGTGCTTCCCCCTGACACAGTGTGATGGGGGTGATGACTGGGATTCTTCATCTGTGTGATGAATGGTGCCAGGTCTTTACCCCCTACCAGCAACCAGAAACATGGGGCTTCTCTGCCAGGGTGGATTTGCAATGCCCCTGCCCTGGAGGCATCTTCTTTGTCCTTTTAGCCTTGGCTTCTGCCTGTGCCTTTTACTGTCCACACACTGCGTCCCCCAGCACACCCCTTGCTGACTTGTAGAGCATGGCTTCAAGCTGGAGCTGCATGAGAGCTTGGGCAGGCCTGCTGCCTTCATCAGATGATGCAGGAAGGACCTGAGCATCCTGCTTCAAGGAGAGGGGCTCTTCTATGTGCGTGGAAAAGCCATGGATGCGTGGGTGCTCAGTGCTTTGCTCTCACCATGATGCTGTTGTTACCCTGCTTGTGTGGGTCACAGCCTGGCTCTTCCCTTACTGGCGTGGTGGGAGTGGGGACACCATCTCCTGATGTCAATGGGAAGTCAAGAGAGAGGGAAGACCTGTCTGTGGCTCTCCCTAGATACGAGATGTGAGCTGGCCGTGGTTAGGAAGGTGGTTGTGTGCATGACAGGTTCAGCTTTGTGCCTCTGAAGCAGCACCTTCAGTGGAACCTGTACTCCATACTGAGGCCCCTGAGCATCCTCCCTTTGCCTGCAGATCCTCAGGGCTTTCCTGGATGGACATGGAGAGCACAACACCCACAGTTCCAGGAGATGGCACCTGCTGAGGACTTGTGGGAATCTCAGCAAACTGGGACCAGGTTGCCCTATGTGAGCATCCCATCTGCCTGCCCCAGAGCAGCTGTGCTTGGCTTGCCATTGCCTCCAAGCAGCTTATAGCTTCCTGTGTAGCTCCACTGCTGCTAAGCCACCACGTCCCCCAAGGCTGCCTGTCCCCTGCTTCCATTCTAACCCTGCATGGCATGAAGCAGCTAAGGGTCTCTGCGGGAGACAGGGTAAGTCCTCCAGCACTGTTAAATCACGTTCATCAAAATTAGCTGGCTTAATAAATGATAGCGTGTCTCCCAGGCCACAGTGTCGGTGCTTTGCTGAGCTTATGGGGGTTTGTAGGGAAAGGGGAGAGTGAGATCCTGTGGAGCTGCTGGTAGGTTTAACCCCAGTCCTTTAACCCAGACCATGTGTCCAGGGATCTGTCCCTTCTCACATCAGGGTGGTGACATATAAAAGTCACCCTTCCTGCAGCAGTTAGGTACCAGAGCACATCTGCTGGGAGCAAGGATGCTGGTGACACTGGATCTGTGGGAGATGGAGTGTATTGAGCTCAGCTGATCCATGTCTCCACTTACAAACACCCTTCCTGCCCAGATTTCCAAGGAAGATCTTTCTAGGTGTTTGCCAGCCCCATTAGCCATGCTGGAGTCATGTTTGCTTCCCCTGTTCTGCGTCTGCAGCCTTGGTTCCTGCAGCCTCCTCCATCTAGGGTGTGCATGGGGGTCCAGGTATGGGACAGAGACTTCTCCAGCCCAGCATGGGGTGGGAGCAGCCACAGCTCTGATTTGAGGCTGTTGGGATTTGCTCCTGGGTGGATTTTAGAGGGTGGGTCCCTTTAGAACCACTGGAGCTCGTGGAAACATCAGCCTTTCCAAAGCAAACGCAGGCGGCTTATCCAGCCTTGCTGTCCCAGCCCAGCATCCGTTCCGTCTCCTGGCTTTGAAACCATGAGTTTTTACAGATGGGGAGGTGGATGCTGGAGCCAGCAGGGTTTGGCAGGATTTCCACGTTTTATGCTGGGCTGAGGTGAAACATAACGTAAGGAAACCTTAGAAACAAAATGCTCAGCCTGTTCCTCTTCCATAGCTAGACCCAGCGGTCAGGCAGCTCTGTATTGCCTTTGCTGCGGTTCCCCTGGGTATGGACTCTTAAGCCTAGCCTACAGGAGCCTCAGCTGCGCATAGAATCTGGGTATCCCCTCCAATCTCAGTACCTCTTGCTGCAAGGTGGGCGCAGCAATGGGGTGCACAGCACCCATGGGTGAGAGACAGCCTGCAGCATAGACATGGAGCCTCCCTTCTCACCACTGCCCAGGGAGGAGCAGTGCCTGGCCCTGCCTGCTGCTGCCCTTGGGCTGTGCAGCTCTGGTGTTAGGTAAGAAAACAAGCAGATAAAGCAGGCAGGATCCCAGCCGGTGCCAGAAAACACCCACCTCTTACAATAAAAACACCATGCAGTCATCTTTTTTTTTTCTTTTAAAGATATACACAGAGATTAGACTGACTTAACGAGGCAGTAAAACACTTCAATGGCTCCCCTTGCTAGCTATTAAACACTCCCCTGGGCCTTCCCCTCCCCACATGCAGCTTGGCTCAGAAAGGGCCCATCCCCTGAGTGTTGCAGCCATTTAAGCGATTTATGGTAGTTCCTGTGGGGAGGCACCAGGAAAATAACCTTTTTACAGAGGGGAAGAGCCTGGTGCCCATGGTCAAAGGGGAGGTGGCTTCCAGCCCTTCCGCCCCTCACCGTGGCCTTTGGTCTGGCAGACCTATAGCCCCATACAACCCTATCAGCTGGCTGCTGTGGGGTGCATTGCTGTGGGGTGACCAGGCGAGTGGGTGCAGGGGGTATGGGGCTGGATCCTGGCACAGGGACCTTCACCAGGACTTGGGGCAGGGATACTCCATGTTGTCCCTTGTATCATTCCCTGTGCATTGCTCAGGGATCAGGTGCTGGGAGGAAACCTGTAACAGGGCTGCTTGGAACTGCTCTAAAATGAACCTTTTGGGCTCTGCTTGAGGCTTGTCTCTGGCATCCACTGCTAACATGAGAAGGTAAGAAAAGGTCCGGATGGACCAAGTGTAACCTGGGGCTGACAATACCTTGCCCACTGCTTTCCCTGAGATGATTGCAGGCTGCATTACAGGGTGACCTGCCTGAAAACCAAACCCCTCAAGAGAAAGTGTTCAGCTGTAGGGGTGCAATGATGTGACCTAGTGACACCAGTGCCAATGGGGAGGGTGTCCCATTCACCCCACGGTTCTCTAATTGCCGGGAGCAGTGCTTCAGGCGGAGCCCTGGGCTTGAGCTGCCTGACCCATTGCAGGCAGTGTGGGGCAGAGAGGCCAACAACTAAGACAGGAGGGGCTGGTCATGCCCCCAAACCCTGCTCTCAGATTGCCCTGTTTTGCCTGTGGGGATGTTCTCCTGGGCAAGGCTGAAATGTTGGTGCTGGTGGAGCCAAGGGAGAGCCCCATGATGCCAAAATCACCTCCAGATCAGGAGAGCATTCACTGCTGGCACTGAGGACCTGGCTCAGGCTGGCCCCATCATCTAGCTCTCCTTCTCTCCTGGTTTCACTCAGCCTGCTCCCTGTGCCCTGCCCAGGACTCCCCTGTACCAGGTTAAACCAGCCCAGTGGAGGGTTCCTGTGCCCTGAGTTTTCAGCTGGTTTCCAGTTTTTCCTTCCCATTCCCTCAGGATTACAGGTTTCCAAAGGCAGAACCTCCTACAGGTTTGTGCAGAGGCAGCTGAGAAGGAAGAGTTGCCCCCCCCCCCCCCCCCCCCCTTCCGCCTGTTTTCTAAGGACGGGCATGCTTTCAGTGTGTGCTCAACCTCTTATTACACACTGGAGAAGCCACACCAGGCAGGGGATGCTCTGACTGCCCAGCGTCTCATGGGAGCCTCCTGCCTCCTGTGGTACCCCCTGAATTCCCCCTGGGTCTGCTCTTGGGTCAGCAGCTGAATGACCCAGAGGCTGTTGAACGCAGGGACAAAGCTGGAGCACAAGCCAAGAGCTAGCTGAGCCTTTGGGAAATGCCTCCTGGAGCTGTTCCCTGCCTGGCCTTTGCTTTGGATTCTAATCCTTTGGTTTTAGAGCTTCCCAACCCTGCTTGAGAGTGAAAAACAAACATGACTGCTTGGGGCCTCAGGGCTGTGACAAGGGACGGGTGACAAGGACAGGTTCTGGGCTGGGTTCCCTGCCCATGTCACCCTTCCAGCCCAGCCAAGGTGCCAGGAGTCCCCTTCCTCCTCCCTTGGGTGGTGCGCACCCACCCCGGCCCATCAGGGTCCGCAATGTGCCGCCTTCTCCTTCCCATTTATATACCCATCACTTGGTAAGAATCCCCCCTTTCCCATGTAGAGTGGGACCTGGGTTCTCTCAGTGCCACCCCAGGGGTGACACCTGAAGCTGTGTGTGCCCAGATGCGTGTGCTGCTGTCGCCACCTCCTGCCCGCTTTCGGTTCCCCGTGGGGAGGGGAAGGAAAATCGGGATTGCTCCTTGGAGAAATTCATCTTCTTTCACCGTCTTAGCTGGGCCTGACCTAGAGGACCCCCCCCAGCCTGGTTTTGTCCCTTCCGCGGTGTGTTTAAAGGGAAAAATACATGTTTTGAATATGTTGCAGAGAGGCTGTCAGGGGGATGTCAGGATGCATCTCCAGTGGGACAGGATGGGGAGCCTGACCAGAGGGGTGCCTCCAAATGGGAGCATGCAGTCCTCCATGGTTGGTGGTGGTCACAGGTGTGTGACTGCTGCTGGGGCTGGGTAGGGGGACAGAGCTGGCCACTGTGACAGGGATGGGAAGTGAAATGTGCCTCTCCCAGGCATCAAACCTCCCATTCCGCATCCCTTCTCCCCAGGCTTGGAATGGAGCAGAGAGGCCAGGCAGTGGCTCCACTCTTCATCCATGCACTTCTGCAGCTGTCTGGCTGTAACATCAATCTGTACATCAGAGTGCTGTAACTGGCAGAGGGGTGCAACACTTGCGGCACTCAGACACCTTCTGCAAAGGGGTTTTGAGGCCACAATTATCCCCAGCCAGGATCGGTGCCCTGGGAGAGAGACAACATTGGGAACTGAAGGGATTTGAGGGAGTTTTGGGACAGCAGCCCACATCTTGAAGGCTCAGTCCTGGGCCTCGGGGTGGGAGGGCACAGGCAGTGTGTGCAGTGAGGATTATGGCTGCTATAAAAAGCACCGGCATCTCTCGCCCCTGCTCCCTAAGGTGCTTAGGGGAGGAAAGAGGAGCTTAAACAGCAACCTCCTGCACCAAGGAGGTGCAGGCATGGGAGCAGTCGGAGCAGCCTGGAACCCTCATCAGCCTCCTTTCCCCTTGGCACCCCCCAAACCTCCCCCAGGCAAAACAGCCCCCAACACCTCTTCCCATGGACCTTCTCCCTGAGCCCCTGATGTTGGATGGCTGGACCCTCATACCCTGCTTGGAGGAGGTGCGGGACAAGGAAAGGGTTGGTGGGGACAGCCCAGCCCTGAGTAGGGGTCCTGGTAGGCAAGAGGAGCAGATGAGGTTGCTGTCATGTGCCCTGGCCCCCAAACAACTCTTCTTTCCCCACCCTCTCAGTTTTGCTTGTCCATCTGGTCCTACACTGCCACCCCGCTTCAAAGGTGCTCTGAGGGTGCTGGAGATGTCCTCCAAAAAGCAGCCAGTCCAGGGGTGGGTGCCTGGGCTGGAAGCCACTGATGTCTTGGAGGGACAGGGGCTGCTTTCAGCCAAAAGCCACACTCTGCTCCAGTTTCTGGAGGCAAAACGGCTCCATGGCGTCTCATGACTCTCTGACAGGTTCAGAGCATCCTCAGAGCTCAGCACCAGTGCGGTGTCTGTTGATAAATCACGGCGAGGCAGGTGCCAGATGATGGCAGCGATGCAGGGATGGGGGGACGGAGGTGGTGTGTGTGTGAAACTGGTGTCTTCTGCTGTTTCCCCTGTCGTGTTGCGGGTTCCAGTGGGGTCACAGGAGAGAAAGCAGCTACAGCCATGGGGTCCTGCACAGCCCCAGAGCCAGCCCGGTTCCCGGCGCTGAGCAGGTGAGACGCTGGGGCTCAGGAAGACGGTTGGTGGTTTCCCCTTGCCACAGCATTACCTGAGGCTCGGTTGGTCTGGGGATGGGCACAGCATCAGGATCCTTCCTTGAATCCCTGCAAAAAAGGGGGTTCAAAGGAGGGGTCCTGGCTCCAGGAGGGGAGCGGGCTGAGGGTGATTCCCCACCAGACTGCTCCCAGCCTTGAGCAGCCCGGTAGACCCCGGTGCCGGTGGCCACAGGAGGGAGCTTGGCTCCTTCCTTCTCCTGCTCGGAGGACAGTGTCCTGGGTGGATGGCAGCCACGCTGATGCTGGGTGCCAGCTGCTGCTTGTGCAGGAGCATCCCCGCGGGGTCCAACCGTGCCGTGTGGGACCCAACAAGTGTCAGGAAGGGAGCAAGGACCCTGCTGGAGTGGAAGGGGCTGCTTCCATCCACAAGGAAGCCTCATTTCCAGCAGCTGCGTGATGGATCCTCAGTGCAGATGAGCAGCTGGGGCTGTTGCCTGCAGCTGTGGGGGGACCAGTTGTGCCCGGTGAGGGCCATGTTCCCATGGCAGGGACCAGTCCCTTCGAGAGCAGTGCCAATGCTGGACACATGGCCTCACTGTACCCCCAGCAGTGACTGGGGGCAGCTGGGTCACCCCATTGCCCAGCCTCTATGTGTTGAAAGAGCAGGGAAGAAAAGACCAGCCTTCCCACCACATATAAGCTCCTGTCCCGCAGGAATCTGGACCTTCCCAGTTTCCCCAGCACACAGCCAGCTCCATCACTGACAGACCCAGGCTCACCCCCAGGATCCCTCCATGTTTCTGTGGCATTGCTGCCTGTCTTCTCCTTGACAGCCCCACTGCTGGACCTAGCATTACAAACCCAGGGCCAAATCAAATAGGAGAAGAATGCTGGATGGAGCAATGGAGTGTCTGATTGGAAATGGTTAATTACTGAGGGGTGTTTGCGGTACTGTAGCTACTGCCCTTGCTTGCTGCAAAGCAGACAAAGCCCCAGCGTGGGACTGCTGGTAATGGCTCTCATTAAAAGCCATCAGAGCAGGAGGTGGAAAATACATTCATTTTCCCCTAACTGCATTCAGAAGGGGAAAATGACGCTCTGGCTCCCGCTGTTAGGGGTGCTCTGTGTGCCTCAGTCTGGGAAAGGCAGGGCTTGGCTCCCTGAAGTCCTGACCACTTGTCTTTTCCTGGGACCAGATCTCTGGGCCATTATTATAGCCTTTTATTAAGGTTAGGAAATATGTGGACATCAAAGGGACCTTCATAATGAAGAGGCACTGGGACAAAGGAATGAGGTTGGTCCTGGTGCCTGTGCTCTGCTATACAGCGAAATGATGGATCCTGGTTCAAAACCCCAAGCAGGGCAAGAACTGGCCTTAGAATACCAATTAAACCATCGTGATGCTTCTTTTCCCACTTGGTCTGGGAGGTCACCCCCCACCTTGCCTGCTGCTGGCTTCCCCTCAGCCCCTTAAAAAAGGGGAAGTGAGGATCCACCTGCAGTTAGCAATGGAAAGGATGCCTTTGGAAAGAGAGAAGTGGGGAGAAGAGAGAAGGGCAGTTCTGGGTGGCAGTGCCCTGGCAGGGAGGAGGAAGGCACCCAGCAGAGCTGCAAAGCTAAGGGGTGGAATGATGGCCTGTGCAGATCATCGATGTACCGGGTTGGATTTGGCTCCTACTGACCTTCCAGTGCCTTTCTGCAGCCCCCAACTCATGCTGCAGCCCCAGCTCCCTGCTGTGTCCTGGGCTTCTCCCCAGAAACAGACACCCCCGTTTCTCATGCTGCCTTTTTGTCGCCCTTGCCCTTTTCACCATCCATCCCTGTGCTGCAGGGCAGCCGCACACCAAAGGACCGCCTGGCTCCTCTCTGGCTCATTCCTCTTGTTGGTGGGTGTATTTTGCATTTGCCTTTCTTTTTTGCTATTCACAGGGAAGAAAGGGAGGTCATGAACCCATGGGCAGACATCAGGGCAGGACTGACGTGCTTGGAAGAAGGGGAATGCCACCCACCCCAGCAAAGTCCTTAGAGGCTGGCAAAACCAGGGCGAGAAGGGCTTTGCTCTGTGGTGCCTTCTGCCCTTCCCTTCCTCTCTTTGCCCAGTCCTGCATGGTGGCTGCTGCAGTCCCACTGCATCTTCCTGCTGCTCCATCGCTCCGCTCCATTCCTGCTGCTCCATCCCACCTGGCCCAGCCACCGTGCCCATCACGTCTGTTGTGGTAAGTGGCAGGTCTCGCCGATGGTGATGACCACGTCCTGGGGCTGGCGGTCCCGGCGCCGTGGCACCTCGGGCATCTCACTCATCTCATTGACGCTGTTGCTGATGCAGTTGACGTCGCTCTTGTTGCTGTTGTCATCCGGGCTGGGGCCAAAGATCCAGTCTGGAGGAGGCAAAAGCACAGAACAAGCTGCTGGTTACGTCTGGCTGTTCCCAGAGTCAAAGCTGGCTGGGAAATCACTGCCTCCCACTACATCCTGCCCCTCACTCTGGATATTTACCATCCCACCCCTGCCCCTTCAGTCCCCTTGGATCCCCTGGTACTGGGGTCTCTGCTCTTCCCAGCTTCAGGCTGGTTTTCAGGCTGCTTGTTTCTGGAAGCCCTCCTGGCTTAGGCAAATGAAATCACACTGCTAATCCCAAAAATGAAAATGAAGTGCCTCTGAAGCGAAGTGTGCATCTGGGCTCTCTGGCAATGTATTCCCCACAGCAGGTTTTTGCTGTCAGAAACAGAGGGAATGATTAAATATCCATGTGACATCCAAAAGGGGCTGGAGGCATGGCTGGGGACACAGCTTATCTGCCATGGGAGTGCATCACAGCCACACCAGGGCTTCAACCCTTCCGTGGGCAGCTTTGGGGCTGTGCTTCTGGCAGAACACCAGAGCACCACAATGTGGCTCTGAGCTGATCCAGCTACTCTGACAACCCTGGGGGTGACTGATCCCACTCCAAAATACAGTGGTCACTGCTGGAACATGGTATGACCAAGACATCCCTTGCAGCACAAAGCGCTGCAGCTCTGTGGTGTGCTGCTTCCCAAATAGCTGCTATTTAAAAACCTGGCTGTTTGGGCAGTGAGAGGCCATGTCCAGCCATGATGGAGACACACCAGCAATGAGCAAACCAAAGGTGGGCGAGTCTAAGTGGCGGTGGTGGGCAGTGGAGCACCAGGACCTTTCTGCTTCAGCCCTGTTCTCAAAACAAAGCAGAGATGAGTATCAGGAGGCAGACAAAAGTCCAGCCTGGTTTAGTTGTTTCTGAGGGAATCCACTTATTCACCAATGGATCCTGTTTAAGAAATAACATTTTTCTCCTTTGTGGCGTTTTCTGTCCCCAACAGCGTTTCAATTGCAGCTCTTCGGAGGAGGATGCAGGCTGCCTGGCAGAGCAGGGCCAGAGAAGTGCAATCACAGTGAGACACTGCCTTTTTCATGGGCTGTGGAAAAAAGCTTTGCAGCCAAACCAAGGCTGAATGATAACAAACGCAGGAGTGGGATCCCAGGTGTGGAGGGAGGGGAAGATCTGACTTTTTGGGTCACCAGTGGTGTCCAGACATTGCTGCAGGAGTGATAAGAGAGATGGCAATGACCTGTGGTCCTCCCTGTGCTTGGTGTGTGCACTGTAGGTTAATGCTGGGGCTTTTCTGAAAGCCCCAAAGCTTCTTCTGTGAAGAAACACCAGAAGATTTATCATTTTTCTCCAGCCTGAAGCCATTTGGCCACACCATTCCCAAGGTGTGCACAGGGCATGGCTTTTGGGGTGATGCTCATGCTGTGGAGCCAGGGTGGGTGTCCAGCCCTGCCAGAGCGACCAGGCAGAGAGAAGGGGGGTGTTGTACCCCACTGCTGGTGTGGGCTGGCTGGACATGGGTGCAGGTTACAAGGAAGAGAAGGCTTCCACCATGCTGGGCACGTGTGGTGTGTCCAGACAATGACTGTTTGTTTCTTGTCTTTCCTTTTTTGTTCACCTCCATCACCTCCATCAAGGTTTGCTGGTTGTGTGAGAGGGGCAGGACAACCTCCACAGTCCCCACAGCTACCTTGGTGCTCCCAGGAGTGATGGGAGAACTCATCAAAGATGCGGCCCAAAGGCTCTTGGGGAGCCCTGGATCTGCCCCAAGTCCCAACTGGGGCATTTAGCTTTCACTTGCATGGTCCACAATCCCTGGGATCTCCATTGCAACCCTTCCCTGAGGAAAGCAGCCAAGCTCAGAAGGCTCATTTAGGTCTTTTTCCCTTTATAGCCTCCATTTTGCTTGGATTTACTGGATTTAGACCAAAGCCAAACACTCCACTGGCTGCTTCCTGGCTGCCTGGGCTGGGTCCATGCTGGTTGGACCCCCCCTCTCCTGCCCCTAAGACCTCCTAGGCTCACATGCAACCGCTTGGCATGAGGAGGATCTGGAAGACAATAACAAGATTGCCTCCTACAAATGCTATTAAAGTTCTCAGCTTGCTTTCCTTGACGTCAGCCATAAAACTCCAGTGGGAGTAGGGGCTGGTCTGGCAGGGAAGAAAGGGAATATCCTGTAGAAAAAGAGGTGATGGGTACCCAAATATCCTAAGACCCACTGCAAGAGGGTTGCAGCATGCGATAGGAAGCAAAGAGCACAGCTTTGCATGCCTCTAAGTGAGGGGAAGTGGCATTTGGTGGCCAAGCAATGAACACTTGAGGGCATTTGAAGGCAGCAGAAGAAACCAAAGCAAGGCACAGCACCGTGATACCATTATAAAGGGAGAAATGCAGAGGATGGTGCTTTGGGAGAGCAATGTGGGGCTCAGCAAAAGCTATTTCTATGGGAAAAGGGTCAGGGTGCGTCATCACCAAAGGGTGACAGGGTGCCCAGGGAAGGCGGCTCATGCGAGGCTGCCACGGTCTAATTCCTGGGTAAGAGCGGGCCGGATTGTACGCGCTAATCCGAACCGCTGCTTCCCTGGGAATTATTTCTGGAGCCTGCTGGATCTAATTACCCAGTAATCTGCAGGAAGATGTAATTAGGCTGTCATTAGAGGGTATTTACTGCGATGCCTTTATGATTTGACTGTGTAAGTAAGGAGTGAAGTAATTACACAATTACACGTTATTTGTGGCCATTTATGGCCTGTAACTTCAGCGTGTTGCCATGTGTGGAAGAGGGGAGCGAGGCCCCATGGAGCTGATGGAGGATCTCCTGCCAGCAAGACCCTGGAGAAACAGCCATAAAACTGTCAGCAGCCTCAACATGCTCCTCCTCAGCTTGCCCCCCCCCGCTCCTCTCAGCCTGCGGTTGAGAAACCAAAGTCTCCCATGGGATATCTGAGGAGGGATGAAGGGGAGGAGAGGGGAGACCTGCACGGCTTTGGCCCCATGAGATTAAACCTTGCTTCGATGTGGAAGGATCTTTGCAGGGGATGTGATGCACAACCTTACATCACGCACAAGCACGGGTTAGAAACCTTGATAATGAGCCCTGGGGAGGGGGGATTGTAATCAGGTAATGGAGGGTAGTGAGGGGGTGGGAGCTGAGGGATGGTGGTGACCCTCTTAAGGTAGCTGAAGCCTTTAGCATCGTGACAGGGATTTTTCTCTCCATCCCTTACCTCTGGCAGGGGGTCTGCATGAGCAACAGAAAATGGGCACAGTTGTCACCGAGAGGAAAATGAAATCCTCTTTTGGAGGAAAGTCACCATTTGAGTTCACACAGGCTCCAGCCACAAGGAGTCATGTGTCACGTAAAGGAGAGGGACAAAATGCCTCTAACCCAGAGGCACCTCTCCCTGCTGGCCAGGAGCTGCTGGGGCTCAGCCTGCCTCCTGAGGTCTTGCAGGGCGAAAGGCGAGGTGGAAAGTGCTGAGATGGGGTGAGATCGATATGGAGGGATTGATCCAAAGCAGCTGGGGAGAGGAGATAGGGCAGGCTAAGTAAACCAGGAGTTGTGGATTAGAATCTCTCCCTAAATAGCTGAGTGATGTGGCACAAAGTGCCCCTGCACCTCCCTGGCTCTGCCTGGGTCTTTGACTGCATCCCTGGAAGCAGGATCCTTAGGATGCGCTGTGTTTTTAGGGGCAGACAAACGTTGTTCAGGGCTTTGCAGATTTCACAGTGTGTTTTACCTCTCCTCATACCAGCACCATGAGGGGTGATCCTCACCTGGAAACCCCTTACAGTGCAGGGAGTAGCCTCCTGCTGCTTGTGTCCACAGAGCACAGGGATGCTTCATGCCCAGTCTTATCCAGGTCAGGTCCCCTGCATCCACTGGTAAAAGGGTGGGATGTCTAAGAGGCACTTCGCTCACTGGACAAGAGATATCCCTGACAGAAGAGCAGAGGGAAGTGGGAGAAAGGGATGAAATTTAAATGCAATGCAGTGAGACATTCACACTCCCTACAGAGATGGAAACAAGCAACGGAAGGGGAAACAAGTTAGATGAACAACTGAACTCGTGCTCTAGTTTTATTTGCTTTAAATGGAGTTGGGTGTGAAAACAGCTGCTAAAAAAGCCCCTTTTCCAGCAGCAGGAGCAGAAGCAGAAGCACCTCTTTCTTTGAAGCATGTCCTGACCCAGCAATCGCCTTGTGCTCTGCAACAAGGCAGGACAAGCTCTGGCCAAGTTCAAGGGTATCCCTCATGTGACTCATGTCCCTTTGCAGTCTCAGCTGGTCATCGTATCTGTCTCATTTGCAGGATGGACTCTGCTTATTCATTAGCAAAATCAGCAGATATCTCCCAGGTTTGTTCTGCTGGAAAATCTCTGTCTGCCTCTGGCAGTAGTAATTTGTTATCAAGAAGTCCCTTTCCCCCCAGTCTTTCTGAATTAGATTGCTGTTGGAGTCTGTTCTTCCTTCCCTGTTTTGCAGAAATTTCCTAGGTTAGTCATGCTGGCCAAGTCAAAACTGTCCTACACACCAAGCAACATGAGCATGCTACTTTGGTGATGGACAGGCAAGGACACTGTCCCTCTGCAGAGCTGTCACCTGTCATCAAAGGGCGTGATATGGAAAAAGCATTCAGTTAATTATGATATTCTCTTAAAAATAGCTCCTGTGCACCAGAACAACCCTGGACCAAGCCTGCATTTGATCCCTGGGCAGTGTTGCTGCTCTGGAGAGCAGGTTTCAGGGAGGTGGTGACTCAGGTGTGGTACATGTAAGGCAGGGATGCTTCTGGCTTGGTTATTTGCTCTCCTCATCCTCCAGCCCATGGAGGCAAAGATGGCCAGAGAGTGAGGAGCTGTGCTTGGTCTCAGCTCAAAAACATCAGCACTTGCAGAGGAGTAGAGAGGCACGGTGCTCACCTTAGGGACCTGATACAGCCCATTGCTGGACCACTGGATGGCAGGCATGGAAATGCCACTGTGGGATGGCGTATCGCTGAGGCCAGGCTTGGTCGTTCCTTGGCAGCATGTGCTGGGAACAATCACTGCTCAGGCTTTGTGCTTCAAAGGTTTGGCTGCAGAAGCAGCTATCCTGGAGTGAGGCCACTGCTGCCTGCTTTTGGCAGGGCCAGACCACTGTGACCACTTGTCTGGCCGACAGCCGCAGCCTGCAGCTGTGGTGATGCCAGGATGGATGCGGCAATGGGGCATCTGTCTGTTATTACAGTAGCTGGGAGTGGGAATTAACCCACTGGAAGCCATCCTACAGCAGCTACTGCTAGACATCAGCACCCCTAACCAATGCCTAAAGAACCACAGTGCACCCCAATGCACCCAAAGGGAAACTGAGGCAGGGGGTTAGTGTTAGAGGTGGGTTAGCACCCAGGTGGGAAACAGAAGGGAACCTGATGTAGTCTCTTCTTTTCCAACAACTTTGGGAAGCAAATGAATCATAGCCAAACCAGAGCCCAAAGGGAAGATGTAAGTCTTCTCCGATGGGCCTGAGACTCAGTTTGCAATCCCTGCCACGGGCTGAATTATCCTAAGAGCCCTGTGGTTCTGCGTGGAGCAATTAAAAGTGGATCCTGACTCCCTGCAGGATCACCCAGCAGCTATTTTCAGTAACGCCACGTTCATGCACAATTTCTTTGTTCAAGGAGACCATTTCCTAAAGAAGCCTGCAATGTGGCGGGTGGAGATAAGGCTGAAAAAGAAAAATACAGCTGGTGGGCCAAAAGGGCAAAGAAATGAAAGACCCTGCTCCAAGAATGGGTTAAGGTTTTGAGCTGCTCTGAAGCCATCGACCCACACAGTCCCACCAGCATCAGTGAGCTTGCCCTGCCGTACCCCATCTTGGGCTCATCCCCAAAGGAAAAACTTCCTCAAGGTCTCCTCCGGAGATCGGCAGCTCAGAGGAAACCTCGTCTGAACTGGGTGACACCAGCAAAGGTCTCTTTGCAAAGCATCAGCTCCCACGCAGACCCGAGTGGTTCTGTGCAGGCAGTGCGATGCTTTCCCAGGGACCGCACGCGCTGTGGTCCCCATGGCAACAGCTTTGTTTCCAGTCAAACTTTTGGGGTGTTTTTTATTTTTTCCCTTTTTCCTCCTTTTTTTTTTCGTGTGTTTCAATAAGGGCAATGTGCAGTGAACTGCTGGGGACGGAGGAGGGAGGGCGGGCTGATTCCCAAGGATTGCAGTAATTAGGCGCTCCGCGCGTTGGTGACAGGCTTGTCATTTGCCAAGCCGGCACTTCTCCGCAGCGCCGTCCCTGGCAGCTCTCCAGCGCTCCCGAGTTAAGCCGCTTTCCAAATGCTTCGACCCAATTTGTCTTAACTGGTGGCCTTGGTCTGAGCGGCTCTCACGCAGAGCCTTCCCCTCCTGCCTCGCGGGGATCGCATCCATCCCCAGGCAGAGATGTCCGATGAGTTTTGGGAAAGGCGCAAACATGAGGCTTCGTCAGCTCCAAGCAAGTGGGAAATCAGAAACCAGAGAGAAACCAGGCTCTCCCTGGCCAAGTGTGTCTAGGAAAACCTGAAGAGGGGCCTTTTTCAGAGCCCTCTTATCCCTACCCAGGGGAATGAGGACAGACAGGATCCTCACCCTGGCTGGAGGGGATCTCTGCCTTCATCCTCTCCAATAATACATCTTTCCCTCTCCTCTGATGCAGCCTCTCATTTCCTGCTATTCCTTACCAAACTGGGCATCACAGCTGCGTTCATCTCTCCCCAGGGATGCCTGGACAAGCTCTAATTGAATTTTAAGAAGCAGCTGCAAGAGGTGTCAGTGCCTCAAATACCCATGCAGACTTCACAGGGGGAAGAGCTCAGCAGCATCCCGAGAGCCCCTTTGCCCTCCTGAACTGAGCCCAGCAACTGGGTCCCTGTTGGTGCATGGAGCTGGTGATGCTTTGAGTCCCCCAGTGGTGTCCTACAAGCTGCTGGTGAGGAGTTAAAATCATCCTTGACGTCTCCGAGTGACTGTTTAAAGTAGCGATTAGCTATTCACACTTTAATCTCCCCCAAACAGGCTCCAGCCCTTTGGCATCTTATTTCCATCTCTCTGTATCCTTATAAATATGATTAGTGCAGAAACTCTGTTAGTGGAAGTTGGAGCTGCTGCTGAGTATATAAATTCAGGCATTGTGTTAAGGCAGCTAATAGACCAGTTTCTTATTTACTATCCCTTGGTCCCTCTGTCCTGTCCCTGAAGTAATTTTATGCAAACTCATTCAAATGGAACCTTCTCTTTAAGGGCTGTTTCTTGGCAGAGTTAACAAACATGGACTTGTCTGCTTTCCTCCAAGGACTGGCTCATTTTAAGCGCATAAATGGTGTGAAGACAAGCCTGGAGTGCTAAATAGGACGAGTCAGAGGCAGCCTTTGGCGCTGAGGGGTGCTGCTGGAGTTTGGTAGATGCCTACTCTTTCTGGATGGGGCAGAAGCTCACATCTGGATTTTTGACCCTAACTTGGAGAGATGTCACGTCCACCAGGGCAGAGAGGACGCTCTGTGCCCAGCAAGGATGTTCAGCTGGGAAAGGGCTTCTCCAAAGTGGCAGAAAGTGGGTAGATATTCCCAGCGCCTGGCCAGCCCTGGGATGGCTGTGGTGCTGTGAAAGGCTGTGGCTGTCCGTTTGTGGCTTTGCTAGGGAAGGGACACCCCGCTGACCTTGTCCCACACAGAGGCAAACCAAAAGGTGCCCAAGGTCACCAGGGTGCACTGATGCTGAGCACAGCACGGGCATGGGTGCCTCCAACCCTGGCTTCAGCCTCTCTCCCTGCCTGGAAGAGCATGACGTTTATGTGGATTTTGGTTCTGTTTTCCAGTAGTCACCCAAGGGGTGTTTTTGAGCACTCACATCCATGCTCTCCTGCCCCAGGTACCCCAGTAAAAAGGGCAGGGGTGTCTGCTCTGTGTGGGCATTGCGACTCAGAGGGGTTTCTAACCTGTCCTGACCTGGTCCTTTGAGCATCTCAGGGCAGGAGTGTGTATAATTTAGGTGCTGTCCCTTTGTTGGGAAGACAATGCTAAATCAGATCAGTGGCAGAGCTGGGAGACGTTACAGCCCCAGCAAGATGCTGATTAAGTGTTATATATAACACTTTAAGACGTAACAGTTCCCTTCGAGCTGGGGCAAAGAAAGACTCCTCAGCAGCAGCTCTCTGCTGTTTTCCTGGCTGAGCCTCACGTGAGACCCCAAGCACTGCTGCTTGCCAGGAGGTTCGACCTTTCTTGTCCCAAATCCCTCCTTCCCATTTACCTAAGTCCCATATCTGCTGGCCCCTGCCTGGTCATGACCCCCTGCCCAAGGGACTTGGCTTGCCCGTCCCATCAGCAAGGCATGGGCATGGGTGCTGCCTGCCTTGCAGGCAGTTGGTTAGAGTTTTGACTGGTGTGTACCTCCTGCATCCCAGGAGCATGGAAATAAAGGGAAATCATGAAGGAGCACGTGTATTTTGCTCCACATGAGTGTGATCTCCCTCCCACTGCAGAGATGGAGCCTGCAGGGCTGCATCCCTGGCTGGGGGGCAGGCTCAGAGCAAGGGCTGTGCAGAGGGATTTCAGCTCTGTTCCCCTGCAGAGGACATTGCTCCTCAGAGCTTTCAGTGGGGGGTATATACATCTGCAGGAGCTAGGAGCTTAGATTCATCTGTGGATCCCTCCTAGCCCCTCATCTGAGCTGGAAAACTGCCACCAGCTCCCTGCAGCAGGGCCCTGTTCCTAAAAGGACATGGCAAGCTGGCTGTGGGGGCCAAAAGTTACCATGCATTCCTTAGGGAACTGAGTACATTTGCACTCCCCAGCACGACCAGCCTGACAAATCATGGGCAAACAACAAGAGTGCCACTGAGGGCATGCTTTAAGCAGCCAACACCTCTGCCTGCACCTCTGCCTGCCCACAGCGGCTACAGCCAGCAGAGTGTTTGCGCTTTTGTCCCCAATGACAAGGGACCTCGTTCATCAGCAGCAGGGTGGAATGAAGAGCCGGGAAGCCAAATCCCATAAAAACATGCACTCTTTGAGCTATCATTGTCCAGATTTGTTGCACAGGCTGTAATGGTTGTGCTAGGCGCTGTACAAGGGAGTCAGACTGCTGAGCTGCGTTTCCTGGGAGTTTGTGGATTCTCTGGTGTCTGATCAGGGGTTAGGCTCATATGGCAGCTATTCTTTCACAATGCACTGGCGGGTTGTTCTCCCGTGCTCAGGTATCTGTTGACATGAAACTCTTCATTTTGGAGACCTGTAATCCAAGCTCAGTTGTTTGGCAGCACCAACTTAAGCACACACACATTTATACATACATGCACAAGCCTCATCTCTTCAGGAAGGGAGCTGAACCCAAGGATTTTCTCTGGGAAGCTCATCAACACACAGCTCAGCTTGGCGAACCCAGCACATCAGATAAACTAACACTTCTGTAAATGTGAAAGGGTAAAGGCTTGGTCTAAACCCCACCAAATCAAAGGAGACTGATCAGCCAGCATCCCTGGGCTCTGCCCCAGGCTCTTTTTGACCACATGCACACAGCGCCTGATGCCCGCACTCACCTATAAAGTCATGAATGAGGTCCTTGATGAGATGCCCGACGATGGCATACGCCACTGCCACCACCACCAGGGCTGCCATGAGAAGGTAGAGGACAGCTTTGGGCAGAGGAATGGCATCTCGAGGAGGGGGCTTATACTCCTTGTAGAGCTGGTCATTGTCTGAGTACGAGTACTGGAACAAGTGGTCCAGGCCAGCCGTGAAGTTGCTGGAGTTCATGGACTGGCTGTTGGACAGGTAGCTGTCCTGCTCAGGGTCCTGCAGGACACTTACTACCGAGCTGGTGGTGGCTTCCACTTGCTGTACCAAGTTCAGAGTCTTGTTAACGCTGGGAAGGATCTGGGAGAGGAAAGTGCTCCAATCTTTGATGGCACTGATGTTGCAAATGATCATAATTGCAATGGGGAGAGAGGTCTCCAAGCCCAAGAGATTTAAAAGGGAAAGAAAGAGGCGAGAATTGCCGTGCTTACACCAAACCATGTACTGCAAGCTGGGCAGAGAAGGTCTTGCTGGGGTCAGTTTCTCATTTGCGAATTCTTACATGATCCAGTAGGGATGTATCTGTGGTATGTTGGTCCTCACCCCTGGAAATGTCCGCGGCAAACCCCTATGGACATGAAGTTCTTTGGAAAAAAGTAGGTGCTAGAATGATTTTGAGCGATACCATTTTTGTCCCTCAGCCATCTCCCCCAGATGCTACTCACTGATGAAAAGCAGAGAGGCAGGATCCTGTAGCTATTTTCAGTCATCTGGAAAACAAAGATAAATCACCCTTCTCCAGCCTCTTTTCACAGGTGATGGTCCTTGGAGAGGCAGAAATCCCTCTTTGCCATCCCCCAAGCTCAGTGTGGGTACCAGCAGGCGCAAGGTGTGCGGTGCCGTGCCTCTCCTCTCCCGTAGTGCTGCCTGAAGTGTCCGCAGAGGAGAAATGTATGTTCAAACCCCACAAAGTTCAGCTGCTCACAGTGCGTGTCAGAGCAGGCAGCAAGCAGCTCCCAGCCGCGCTCTCAGCAACTTGTGTTGCCGACATCTCCTGATTGATTCCTTTTAAGAACAAAACCATGGTCAGAGACGATGTCCACAACAGCAGCGAGCCCCGTGCCTGGTCTCCAAAGGGCAGCCCAGATGAGGAGTGGCTGCTCTCGGGTTTTACCTTAAGGACTTTTTCAAGCGAACAGATCAGCTATCCTGATGCTCCAGCTTGCTCTATCCAGCGCCCGGCTCCCTACAGACCTCCTCGCAAAGAGCAACCGCTCCGGTGCCGCTGCCTGCGGGGTGTGTGTGTGTCTGTGTATACTCCTCCTCGTCCTCTTCCTCTCCTGTCCCTTCACCCTACAGCCCTGCTCGCTCTTCCCAGCCGCCGCGGCTGCCAGCAGCGAGGGGGATTATCCACCGCCGAGGGGCTGGCTCCACAACTCCCAAGCGCGCTGTGAAGCCGGCGGCTGCTCCCCGGGGAGTTAATCCTTTTGATTCCACAAGACGTGCCTTGATCCGCCCGATGGATCCTCCCGCGGGAGCGGTGGAGGGGAAGGTGGGCAGCAGCCGGAGCGTGCGTCTGGGTACACGCGTGTGCATGAGAGCGCAGCCGGCGCGTCCCAGCGGCAGCACAGGCTCAAGCAGCGCTGAGGACGGATCCGGTGTCCCCTCCGGCGCGACCCCCTGGTCCAGCCCCGCCGCGAGTGCTCAGCACAGCCTTTGTATGGGAGCTGTGCTACCGGCAGGGAGAAATCAGATCGCAGGCGCTGCCGGGAGGAAGGCGGACATCATCAATCCCACCGCCAGCATCCCAAGGGAGCGATGCCCCACGCAGTCCTGTCCTCCCCACTCCCCGCCCAGGCCAAGCTTTTGGCATCAGCGGGATGCCCGATTTGCAGAAAGCCTGCAGGATTTGGGGCTGAGCTCCCTTGCCATCTCCCCACGCTGGGTAGCTCTCTATGCAAGCTAGTAAGAGCCAGCCTGTCTCTGGTCACCTTGATGATGGTTTTTATTGGTCCAGGTTCCCTGCAAACACTTTTCGTCCTCCTTGGTAATGGGATTTCACTGGAGTGCTGGCTCAGTTTGAAGGCACTGGGACATTTTTAAAGAGGAGGAAGAAGAAATCTTAAAGAGGGGGAAATTGTCTTTCTATATTTGGAGGTGAAAACATATCACAGCTCCATCTTTCACATCCTTCTTTCTTTTTTGGGGGGCAGCTTCCCCGTGTACAAAATAGCTGTCACGGAGGCAAGGAAATCACCGCACCAGGCCTGAAGGCAGCCAGATGGAGCTTCTGAGAAATAATGGCAAAAGATTAACTTTAAATGTGTGTGTTACCAGCAGCAATCCAGCCAGCTGCCGGGGGGGTGGAAGGGTATAGGATAAAATGGGAACATCTCTCCCTTACAATGAAATCACCAGGGCTCAAGTAGGTGATGGACAGATTGTACAGCTCAGAAGCAAAGAAAAGCTTTTCTGCCCCTCTTGGAGTGTGCATGGACCAGGTCCCAGTGATTTCTGTCCCCCAGGACCATTTTGCAGCATCCAAAAACTTCTCGCAAGTAGCGGGTCTGTGACTGATTGCAGAAACTCATCTGGGCAGCTGCATGGAGATGTAATCCTGCAATGGGACATGTCGTAATGTCCCATTGCCCCATTGATCCTTGGTGCTGGAGCTGCTTTTCTGCCTCCAAAGCATGAAGATGGGATGCTCTGGGGGCCAGGGCAGGAGTCAGGAGCTAAGGGCAAACAGCTGCTCTCTCAGCCTCTGAGTCCTGCCATGCCAGATTTTATCTTTCCATGGGGCAAGATTGATTATTTATCAGAACTTTTCAATGCTAGGTGGGTTTTGGGCTCCATGCAGGGGTAGCATGTTGCAGTCTGGCTTTGCCCTGCTCCAGAGGCACATCCTTTAGCTGGGGTCCCCAGGAGGAGATGACAACCCCCAGAATATGCCCACTGGTCCTTAGGGACTGAAGCTGCTTTGAAGCTGTATTGTCGTTTCAGCTGTTTGGTGTTAGCAGTTGCCATGGCACCAGTGCATCAACCAGAGGGAAAGGGAGAGCATCTGGTCCAGGCTGAACCATGCCTGTGGCTGGCTCTGGGTACGACCATCCCAGATGTGCTCCCACCACTCTGTGTCCCTTTATTCCCAGAAGGGAAAGGAGCTGGGTGATCTGGGGCAAAGTATTTGCAAAGGTGTATGTGAGTGGGGAGGTCAATCAGAGGAACTGAGAACAGAAGGGGATGCTGTGACTCTGGAGGTCCTGAGGCAGTCACCACCTTTAAGTGCTTTAATCAGATATGGGTTAAAGTCCCCGAGGAGCTGGGTCAGGTTCTCTGCCCCAAGTGATAGGGGTAAACACACCCCAAACAGAGGAACTCCTAGGTAGCAAGGACCAGCTGCATGAATGGCTGAACAGGGTTGCAAGTAGCAGATGGCTTCCCCATCGACAAACCTGTGGTGACAACAGTCCTTTCCTTCCTGCTGTACCATCAGAAAAAGGTTTTTCCTCATCTAAACCTAAAGGAGGAACACAGAGACCTGGCTGACACTTTCCTCTCCCCATAGCTTTGCAAGTGCCAGCCAAAGGAGCCATGGTGCTCGGCTGTTGCTGGGGCTGTCAGGGGTTCACTGCCTTTGGGCACCCTTGAAAGCTGGGACACACAGAGACCTGCTCACAGTGCTTTGACAGTGTGGATGCTGGTGGTCCCTGTCTTGCTCCCCATGGCCAGGAGCTTGCAGCACATCTGGCACAGCTCCGTCTCCCACACTTCACACCCGGCTCTTTGGGAAACGCGTGGCTGTGAATCAGCACATCGGGGGATGAAGCAAGCCATCAGCCAGCAGCTCTCTGCTTGCCTGGGGGCAGCTGGTGACAGCAGCTCCAGCAGGACGGAGGGCAGCCCCCCTCGGTTTCCTAGACCTCCACCGAGCACTCCTGGGAAGAGGCAGGAAAAGCGCTTGGGGGAGCTCTGAGGTCTGCTGCAGGCGCTGAATTCATTAAAGAGGCTTAGGGTAATGCCAAAATATACTCCTCCACCTTTTGCGTCTCCCTGCAGTGACAGTAAAGGTGGCCTCTTTCTTTTTCATTAACACCCATATCAATTCAAAGCGACTAAATAGATGTTTAAATGTTCATTAGACACTCTCTGCATCTCTCATCTGAAAGGGAGGCTTTATTTCCATGATTACAGTTTCCATCCCATTACAGAGGGAAAGAACATGGATAAATATAAAAATGTGGATTTTAATATATTTCATACTCTCTGTTATTAAAAAAAAATAATTTGCATTTGGTGAGATGGCGGGGCGGGGGGGGGGGGGGGGGGAGATTAAAAGTATTGCCATGGATTTCTCATTGGGAAAAGTGCTAATGATTTTAGTAAATCACTTTAAATAAAAATCACAATCTCCACAATTCCACCCAAATGCCATTTGGCAAAGGGGTTGATGGAGAAGCAAAATGAATATCAAAATTAGCTGTTTGTCCTAATGCAACTGGGCAAGTTGAATTTAGGGATACACACATACCCAACGATACACACAGCTCATGCAGAAGAGCGGTGTTTTGGCTCCTGGGAACAAGAACAAATGATGTTTTAGTGGGTCAAGAAAGATCTTGTTTCTCAGGATGGATGTTGAGGGTTTGTTTCACCTGTTTCCTTATTATTTTATGGCTTAACTCTCTGTGTAACTATAGTCAAAGCACTGGTGTTTTATTCCACAGAGGCAGGATCAAACTGACTAATGCTGGTGTCCATGCAGGGCTGAAAATCCACTCTGACACATCACAAGTGATGCCCTGAGCAGAGTCTGGTTTCTTGTTCACGACTGGGAGCAGATCCCAGGGTTTCTACAGGAGCTAAAGCCTGAGGTTGTCCTAAAGCCCAGGGAATGCACCATGGCTGGAGACCAGACCCTGCTCCCAGCTCCACTGCTGTCTGCGTGGCCTCCTTTGTGACACATAAGGGATACGGAGGCTGTGAATGTGGCAACAACTATGAGGTGCAAGCTGAGCAGTAGGGATGGAGAGTGTTGCAGTTTATCCCTGTGAAGTGTGTCATGGCATGGGAGGGCTTTGTGTCTCACCCTGTCCGAGAGCTATCCAGTTGGCCAAGAATGCAAAAGAAGGATGTGCAGCTCCAGCAGCAATATGTGCATCCCTATCCACAGTTTTGAGCACGACATTTGTCTGCCCAAAGATAACTTTTCAGTCTCAAGGATTTTTGGTGTCTCCCTTCAGTGCTGGCTGCTGACACCATACCCTGAATCCCCACCAAAGGTGTCACTGCACCTCTCCAGCAGAAGCAGCAGCACAAAGATTTATGACCTCGTTTAGAACAAGGTAAACCAGTTTTTACAGGACTTCTTCAAACCATCCCAACTCTAGCTCTGCAGGGTGACATCCACATTCATATCCAGCCACCAGGTCGTGGGGGCTGCGCAGCTCATGTCCCAGTCTCTGCAGCCTTCCCACGGATGAGGCATGCTGACCTTCATTCATCCCTGGATGGGCCAGATGCTCTTCCCTGCCTCCCTGCCTGGCTGTGTGCTGCTGCTGCACTACACCCTGAGCACTGACTTCATTTCCAAGCAAATTCCAGACCTGTACCAAAGTTTTGTCAGCAGCCTTCCTGCACAACAAGATACAGGCTTATCCTGGATTTCCATTCCTGGCATTCCTCTTGCCCAGCTATTTCTGCTTGAAAAAAAACCAAACAAACAAGGGACAGCAGCAGTTTTTAGCAGATGAATCAGAGCGAGCTATATTTATCTATCTATCTCTATATAAAAACACCTTTTAACAAAATGGCTTTTTTTGATACTGTATTATTCATGCTCCCAAAGCTGAAAGAGCCCAGATTATACTAATGAATAACATCACGAACTTGCCATATTAAGTGCAATGCCTAGGAAGACTGTTCTCTATCTGCTGTCTCTGGTAAACAAAGCAGGGTTTTAACTCTATGTGTGAACTGTTTCATGAACAGCTTGGCTTATTCAATGGATTTGAGAGGCTGAAGGCATGCACAAAAATGAAAACCTTGCTTTGATGAAAGAAAGGGGAGTATTTCCCAAGTAAACAAACCCAGGCCAACAGAACTAATTGCAGTGGAGGTGAGGTGGGAAGAGTGAATTATGTGTTCTCTTTGCATCCCTAGAAAGCACTGCTTAGCCACGGAACAGGCAAAAATGGCTGAAAATTATTTCAGGTGATATCTATGGGTAAATCAGACACAAATGGGCAAAGAAGATCAGGAAAGCTTCATCTTAACAGGTGGAAAAAAATGATGGAAAATGTTCCCCCTCCACTCAAAGCTTTGCTATCCTGAAATCCAGGGAGAAGGTGAGCCAGGCTGGTGGCATCCGACGCCTCCCAAAGCCTCTCAAAGGAATCTGGAAGGAGAAGCTGGCAGTCTCTACATATTCTATCTTCTCCACCCTCTAAGATGGACGTGTAGAGTGAAACTAAGAAAGTCACCAGCTGTTTCTTTCAGCCAGAATAGAGCAGAAACTGGCAACTGGTTGCATTTCAGACACCCAGCCCTACTCAGCTCTTCCTCCACACCTGAAACACCAGCATGACTTTCTAGGTGCCATGCTAGAAGCAGGTCCTTGAGCAACGACTTTGCAAGGGACACACAGCAGAGCTGCAAACTCCTGTGTGTGTCTGTAGGGGAACGATCTTCAGAGAGTTTAAAAGCGAGGGACTGAGGGGTCTATCCACTAACGTCTGGCCAGTGCTAATGCCTGGGCTCCAAGGGGAAACTTTAAATGCCAACCTTCCTGCATGACAAGAAGTTGTGAAATACAGGCTTATCCTTTATCCAGATAAAGAAACGGAGCAAGGCAAGTAGGAAAACTTACCTGCTTCCCTGAAATACTTCTCCCATTGCAGCTAGAGATACAGAAATACAGACTCCCATAAACGCTAGTTCTCATTCCCCTACAGACACACACTGGAGTGTGTAGCTCTGCTTTCTACCCCTTGCAATGTCTTTGCTCCAGTGTTTTCTTCTCCCAGAGCAGAACTTGCTTGTACCATGGCACCTGTAAAGCCGGGCTGGTATTTCAGGTGTGGAGGAGGAGCTGAGTAGGGTTGAGCATGTGAAATGCAGCTGGGTTGCCAGGCAGGTTACAAATACTCTCTGTGACTCCTGATTAATCTGCCACAGCATCAGAAAGGTGATGCAGTGCTCTCTTCTGCATTGCAGATTGTGCTCCAGCTGTGCCCTTTCCTCACCACCTTTCTTAACCCTTACCTGCTATTTCCCAGGCACACATTCAGCTCTGCATCACACACTGAACTGCATGCCTGATCCCTACACTGTTGCCTACTTGAGTTGGATCTGGGTCTGCAGAGTGCTCTGTACTCACAAGTGGGAAACCAGTCTCTGGGACCACATCCTGGCTGTGCCTGCAACTCCACATATGGTCACATTAAAAAAGCTGATAGCAGAGAGGGGGCTGTAATGTTAGCCTGTGTTTCTTTCAAACCAGCAGATCCAGTGTCCTGAACGAAAGCGGGTAACACTCCTTTTCCTGTGCTCCAATGTGTGCAACTGGTGGATCACAGATGAGAACATCCAGCTGCTATAGGCGTATGGGTTCCAGAATGGAGGAAAGATGTGGGCACAGCCCTTCTGGACTGAAGGATGTATTGCATGATAGCACCACATTGCCCCATTTCCCCTTCAGGTGAGGCAAGATGAGCCAGCTCCTCATGAACTGCAGGAGCCCTGGACTGAGTGACAGGAGCATGAAGGAGCTCTAGTCTGGCCTGAGCTCTGCTGCCTCTCAGCAGAGGCTCATTGCCTCGAGCACCCTGTGGTGCTCCAAGTCTAGCAGTAGCGCTCCTCTTGTCAGCAGCAGGCAGTTGTCATTGGCAGTGGCAGCAAGACGCTTGAGTACTTTGGGATAGGATAAACTCCAGAGCAGAACTAGTGTTAAGTCAGAAATATGTATTTAACAAGCACAGAAACCTCTTTTAACCCACTGCAGCCAGAGGTGTGTTTGCAGCCCTTCCGTCTTTTTATGTCGTGTTGGAAGTGCTGCATGTTGTTTTTCCAGTCTGCCTGTTCGATGCTACCAGAGAGTAATTTAGCCAGGGGAATGTTCCCTTCTAGGAGCTGAAACCCCGGGAGAAGGCTGAATTAAGACTAAAGGTGACATTCATAATGAACAGGGCATGATTTTGTTGTGCAGGCTGTCAACCACACAGCGTCCTTTGACTCTTGCACTTTACTACTATGAACATATTAGATGTCCACTCATGTTACATCAGATAGTCTACAGCTCACCAAAGCCCTTGGCTTTCAAAATGTTGATTGCATTGCATGTTCTTCTGGCTAAACCTGCTGTTCCACGGATGAAGGAGGTCTCTTATCAGTGAGGAGCTATGCAGTCAGTTCTTGTCCTTCATTTTCAGGTTATAGCTTTTCCTAGTGAAGCCAACTTGAGTGTTCTTCACTGCAGTTGGAGTCCACATCTTGTTCTGTACCATCAAGCACAGAGAGCTTCCTATTTCCTTCTTCACTGAAGCACCCTTTGATGGTTTTGATGGATAGAGCGCTCTATAGATTAGTGTAAAAATGACCTTACATGTTTTATTTCTTTTATCAGAGAACAGAAAAGGCTAAGCCACATCCACTAGGTCCATGCGTATTTAGACAAGTCAGGAAGAGCAGGTGAGAGATGGAGCAGCAGCCCCTCTGCTCATGGTGATGCTGAGCTTCAGTGAAACTGCATACACACCTTTTGTCCAGAATGGGATCCTGCTGAAGGTGACCATGGGACCTGACCAGATTGAGAGCACAGACACTGATATTTCTGTCTCAAAACCAGTTCTAACTGTGGAGTTATGCCGCAAGGAATAACCCTTTCCAAGGAAATGAAGCCTGATGCTGGCATTCAGAGATTGTAGGCCTATAGTCCCCATCCTAGACTATACCTGTCTGCACTTCTACTCTATGCAGCTATTGACTCCTCATGTCAATGAAGCAGAAGTCTCCCCTTTAGACAGCTGAATGCACTCTGCTCTTCTGTGCATCTCAGCCTATTTCTGGTCCTGCTTTCCCATACCCAGGGCATGCTGCACACTGACTTTCCAGCCTTAGATTTGTTTTGCTGTCGTGTTTTGCCTGTGCCAGCCTCTAGGCAGAGAGCAGACAAGCAGCCCTTCATCCACCGCTGCTGATGATTTATAACACTGTCAACAGCTCTAGGGCTTCCAGTCACCTACGGGTTAATGGCTGCTACCAGAAGACTTTGCAGGTTTAGGCTTTCTTTAACAAGTGTCCAACATGCACTTGAAACATAACTGGCTTTGTTTGATTATTCTTTTGTTCAGCTCAGTCCAAGGTCAAAGCCAAGAACAACACAGAGGAGCAATAGTAAAACACACAAAAGCCTTGTGCAAACTTCACTGCAGGGCTCCAAAGAACGAGCATATTTTTATCCTCCCCATGGCTTTCAGCAGGAAGCTGGGAACAGCATCCCTGTATCACAGACAGGGAAGCTGAGGCACACAGCAGCTGAGCACCAGAGCCCAAAGTTATTAGAAACGGACTAGGTACTCGTTGGTTTCAGTTGACTTTAATTCACAGAAAGCTGGGTAATACCCAGTTCATTCGCTATAAACAAGCTTTTTTTAAACCAAAACCAAGGCTGTTTCTTTAATGAAGGAAAGAAGCAGAACTAGGATGGAAGGAAACGTGGCAGTGGAGGTGAGCTGCCAAGCCTGTGCTAGTAGGAAAGGGGAAACAGAGAGATCTCGTATCTGAGACCCCAGCATTAATTCATATGTTGATGAATGCCATAAATTAGATTGCAATCAACCTGCATTCTCCAGGGACCTATTCCATGTAACGAGGCAGAACTGTGTCTGTTCTGAATCCAGAGAACTTCTGGAGACTCCGAGCACGGTTCCTTCCTTCCCCACCCTCAATAAATAAATAACATTGGAAAAGAGGAAGGTATTAAGCTGTGAATGGATTTTAATTGAAGCAACAGTAAATTCATTTCATAATCTTTAATTAGCAGGGATGCTTGCCGGAAATGTAATAAAGAGGAAACTTGCTCCTTCGCTTGGAAGTCACTGGAAGGTCCCAGCGATGAGGCTGAGAAGGAGCTGTGGTCTCTGCAGTCTTCTAAATAACACATGAAGGCCCAGGATGAAGGCACTTGCCTCTTGGGGTGAAGCAGACAGAACAGGCAAAGGGTCTCTCAGCAGGTTCAGATACTGGCTCCAGGTACAAACCTCAGTCCAGCTTCTGGCTGCGGCTGAGAATCAAGCAGGAATAAAATGACTGAAGTCAGATGGTGTCTGGGCTCCATAGTCTGAGTCTGTGGCTCTGTCCGCCCTTCACAAACACACACAGCTCCTGACCTTGGCTTGAACCTCACTGCTTTCTGCAGGCAACGTCCCCTGTCCTTCTGTTTTAGTGTCTCCTGGGATGCTACAGTTCTCTCCCACCTCCTGTTCCCCAGGAACCCTGGCCCAGGGTTCATCCCCCGGTACAACTGGCTTACTGAAGGTGAGCTGGGGGATTTATCAGCACAGCAAAGACAGCGGGCAGCTGTTGAAACTACTCTTCCTCCTCCAATATGTTCTCTACCGCAGGATGCTTTCTCAACTCAGGGCACTTTCAAAGCCCATCACTGTGGGGACAGGAGAGGTCACAAGGGATCCTGAGCAAATTCTGGGACGAAATGATGAGTACTTGAACTGGAGACACCCAGAGGTCCCTTCCAGCCAATGTGCCTATGCGTCTCTGAAGTTA